GCTAAAAATCACTTCTTAAGCAGTCACAACTATCAGAAATATGGGTTGAGTCTTATCAGCCGCGATTGATTGACAGTTCTTTAGGTTAACAAGTTTTTTACGATGAGCTTCTGGCTAAAGGTTTATAACACTAGTCGGCCGAGTCCCATAAAGCGGTCATAGGAATAGCTCTGCTTAAACTATGCCGCCACACGTGCAGCGTGCAACAGCAGTAAATTACTCACATATATAAAAGACAAATTGTCATTGTATTGCATGCCGAACGCTAGTTTATTACTAAAAGAATTAGTAATAACTAACATTTAATGACTGTTTAGCGATAAGGAAGCTCTTATAGAAGCTCTCTAAAAAGCTAACTGATCGAAGCTTTACCTTTACTAAAGGTGAAAATATAATCCTCTCGGAAAAGCTTATCAAAAAGCTGCTAGGAGTTCTTATCGCACACCTCTGCTAATTAACAGAGGATTTAACAGCTGCCATTAACACTCATAACCCAAAATATGGACATAGAACCTCCCAGTCACGTTCCATCACTTAGACAAACAATGAAAATGGATTATATTAATAAAGATCCATCATCCCGATTAATTAGGGCCCCTGGCCATTGGAAATCGTGGCCCATGCCGAGATCCCATGAATGATACGTGATCCTTAGGGGCATGAAAAAAAATTATAATAAAAGTGCAGGTGGTAATTAAATTATTAGCATGCGCTGTGTTTTATTATTTTTTAACCTTTCGATCCATCGCGTGTTTATTGTTTTGACTTTGGTCTCTTTGTATTTGGCCAAAATGTGTCGCTCTCTTTCGGACCAACTGTCAATGAGTGGGCCAAACATTTGCTTTTGGCCAAGGGCCAAAAAGCTTTTCTTAGCCATTTTCTCCAATAATAAATTATGGTATAAAAAGAGAAAAGTGTTTGAAAAATATATTTAAAGAGGTCAGTAAGGTTCAAAAGATCTGAATAGGTTCCAGAGATCACCTGGGCTATCGTGCTTGGGCTTATGCAACCCTAAGGCTTTCAAAATATTTATTTTTAATTTTTTTTATTGCCAGCTGCCGTTCCAATTGTGATTGAGACATTTAATAACGCAAATTGCGTGCAATTTGATCGACAGCCGTGCTGAGATTTGCGGTGATTTGTTTGCCACATTGCGTACTCCGATTCACGCAATGCCTCGCCAATTGCAGCAATTGCAATTGATAGGAATAGGAATCAAGATCGTCGGTGGTAATTGATAGGCGGCCACTCTGTTATCAATCCGCAGTGGCCAGTTTCAATTGTCCAGATCGTCACGCACTTGCACCACAAAACAGTCAACTACCCATCAACCCACCCCCTCCTACACTGACAATAATTATACTTATTTTCAAGATCACTTTGCGTTTAGTTTCACACTTAAAGCCAGCATTTTACAAATAGCAGGCAATTACTTATCATCAGTTGCTAGTGGCTGATCAACTTAGTTTGCAATGGTTTTGAATTTTACTAAGCATAAATCATTGTTTCCAAAAAACTTTATATATAGAGAAAGACAGATATAAAAAGGTGTTTTTATTTTTCTTTTATAAAATTTTATATTTATTATTTTTGCAACTTTGTTCGCCCTAAAACCGGTTAGATTAATATCTGTTTAAGCAATAACAGTATGTTAACTTTCAAGCAAAGTGTTAATATCTGGTTTGGGTTTCATGTAATAATATCTATATTATTTCTCACATTTTATAAGACTTAAAACCCGGAGATGGAACAGGTGCAAGTGAGAGGGAGCATTGCTCCAGAGATCATAACCCATAGCGATAAAAGATCATAGAGAGCGAGAGGAGAGCCACAAATGATGCTCATAAATTCTGGACTTTCGACTTTTTTATGCTCCGCCAGTAGGATTTGCTAATTTCTATATCTTTGTGTGGGTTTGTGGTCTGCTTCTCGGGGTAAATATGTGGTTGTGTGGGGCTCTCTCGCAGCACGGGAGCTAAAAATGGGCTTTTGATTTACGCAATATTGTATAGATATAGATATAAATATTTGCCTATGGCTACTCCAACACCTCAGATTGACATTGACAGTCCCGCTGTCGCTTTGTAAATTTTCACTCGCTCCTAAACAGTCGGCAAGTGCGAAAAGTCGGTCGAAAAAAAATATAGTGAGATATACTGTCAAGATCTAAGACAAAAAACAAACAAGTGTCAAAATGAGCCACGAGATTCGGTAAATATTTGGGCCAAAAAAATAGAAAATATAAAAAGATAGTTCATGAGAGAGAGACACCCAAAAGTATGTGAATCGATTACCAGAAACATGGATTTTATAATCACAATAAATGGATTAATACGTACAGTTTTTGAAACCAATTGCTCGAGTGGCTGATAACAGTGACAAAGATTGGTTATTGTGTTATAGACCATGCTTTGATTCGGATTCCTTGTTATTTTTATTTTGGCAATTTATCTATGAACTCAATTGACAGCTGAACAGCCAATCGCAACAGCTACTGTAGTACTTCATAAAGTACGAAGTACTCCATGTTAATCTAACTGTCGATTGTCTTAGTCTCATTGGGACATTCCCACTGCAAGCATCGTGTTTCGGATCGGAATAAGTTTGAAAAATCGATGCTATGTCAACGAACCGTGAACAGCAGCGGGTGGATCGGCAAGGGGTGGAAAATGCCTTAGAAATCCCCCAAGAAGGAGAATAGTTGCAAAGGTCTTAAATAAAGAAAATATGTATAAAGTTTCACAATAGTTAATTTGTAAGTGTGTGGCGAAAAGATTAAATTCCTATTGAAAATCGGAGGGTATAAGATAGGATATGATTGATGAAGTTCGTAGGCTGGTTTGCCTAAAAAGAGACAGAGAGATAGGACAAAAAGAGAGGGTTGCCAGTTTTTTAGTGAGGCATTTCACAACCGCTTCTCCGACCTTTTCAGTTGCTGTAAGGTATTCAAAATGAAGGGATCGACGCTGGACAAAATCTCCGCCTTCCTGGGCGAGCTCATCGGCACGGGAATCCTGGTCTTCCTGGGCTGCATGGGCTGTGTGAGTACGGAGGCCTTCCACAACAGTCATCTGCAGATTGTCCTGAACTTTGGATTCGCCGTCCTTGTGGCCATCCAGTGCTTTGGCTGCGTATCCGGAGCTCATTTGAATCCCGCCGTAACGGTAGCCGCCTATATCTATGATATGGTCTCCTTATCCATGGCCTTTGCCTACTTTGCCGCCCAGATGCTGGGTGCCTTTATAGGATACGGCCTGCTGATGGTCCTGCTGCCGAAGGACACCCTCGTGGGCGGCGGACACGGCCTCTGCGTGACCGTGCCCCACCCTTCGGTGCTGCCGGGACAGGCCTTCGGCATCGAGTTCGTCATCACCTCCATCCTGATCATCGTCTGCTGCGGCGTCTGGGATCCGCGCAACTCCAAGTTCCACGACTCGGTGGGCATCCGTTTCGGTCTGGCCATTGCCTGTCTTGCCTGTGCTGCCGTAAGTTGAAACATAACTACCCCATCCCAACACGAAATCGCACAGTTTTTATATAATAATGTATAATCATAACTCGCCTGCCTCTAAGGGTGGTTTTAAAGGCTGCGGCAAGTTCCTCACATGTTGCTAGGCAGCTGCTGCATCGTTTTTAAAACCACCTTTAGGCTTAAGGTTTACTTTACGTTTTAATATTATATATAATAGTTACTTAATAACTATTCATTTTAAAGCATAATGAAATGAATATTTATATTATAATATTCATATTATCTTAGTACACTTAAAATATCTTAGAATACTACCTATTCAGAGTATGATGATTAACCTCTCTCTTTTATTTTAGGGTCCCTTCACCGGTGCCAGCATGAATCCTGCCAGGTCCTTCGCTCCCGCCCTGTGGAACACCAACTTCCAGTCCAACTGGATCTACTGGCTGGCTCCCCTGAGCGCCTCCGCCATCACCGCCTACGCCTACAAGGTCGTCTTCCGCAGGGAGGTCGTGGAGGCTGAGATCACCTCCAACGAGAAACTGCGCCACCTGGAGGACGTCCAGCTGTCGTAGGTGCCAAAGACATTGCTGTAGTGAAAAAGCCTTAACTAATTTACTTGTAATCTAAGACGCCGAATTTTATAATAATGCATTCATTGTACGCTAATATAAATAGTGTTCTCACAAAGTGCTCGAACGTTTCAAAAGCTTTCAAATGTACATTCACACTTTTCGAAACAATTACTCACTTGGTGAATACACTAGTTGCCTTCAGTAATAAAGAACATCGAGATTTTAAATCTATTCTAAACCAACAACTACGTTTTTTATTGCTTTTAACAACCAAATCTTGAATTTCCCACTGATGAGGGTATCGCTTTGGGTAATCCCCATGCTCTTTGGAAAGTCTCAAGAAAATGTTACAATATACTTGGGTTTGATCTTCCGCTATTTAATATAATAAACATTCATATTTAGCTTAGCCACAATAAATGGAATATAACGACTATATTATATTACTTATAAGAAATTATACAAAATAATTATATCTCGTTAGAATGCGAGATTACCCTTGGTAATGGTTATTAAAGCCCATAGTGAAGATATCTGTGATCACGTCCATATCTGATTCCTAGCCGCTTTCGTTGATTGACCCTAAGTCACCTGGGATCTTCGTTTATAATTCATTCTTGGAAATAACAAAAAAATGTGTCTGTGAAAGTAACAAGTCATTGGGAAATTTGGTCATAAGATTTTTAAATATTTTAAGTAGTCACAAATCGACCAATCAAACTACACTTAACGTGAGCTTATCAGCAGACGCTGAATTAGGGCCACCCAATAATTCCCTGACACAAGTGACTATAGAAAAAATAATTCTAAAATAATTCAGTTATTGTACGTTGTGCAGTTTGTAGACTATGGTCTACGTATGATACATATGTTTGGAGGTTTAAATTGGACTATGGACTATGTATGATGAACATGGTTCGATGCTTAAATTGAAATTTAACTTACGTGTGATATGCAAATTCCTATTTTACTTGGAAATTCCTCGAAATCATTAGGGTTTAAACGTGAGTCTATATACTATAGACCTGGTTTATTGGCCTTGTTAAAACGACTCAGACAGTGGCTGGCCCAAGAAGTATTGTCCAAGGCTTGGCGCCCCGTTCGCCAACCGATAAAGATCTTAATGAGATAAGATTGAGCACAAATCGGGCCAAATGGCAGTGGCGCTTATCAGGCCGATAATTATGGCTGAGCAAAGCCCCCAAAAATGCGCCTTGATGAATTGATCTATCCTAAATGGAAATCTGCGTTCGATAATTAGCATTAAGGTTTTATAATGGATATTGATTGATTGCCGTAAATTTGGTTGTTCGTTGGGTTGGGTCACTTGGCAGTAGTCGCCCATTATTTTGGCAGTAGTGTTCAGTCAGCATGTCGCAACAGAAGCAAAAATCGCAAGAGTCCAATCTGACCGCCAGGTGGCGCTTGGCAGGATCGCACAGATCTGCCTTGGCCTCCTTTTTCGGTGAATTTGTCGCCACTGCAGTCTTTGTTTTCGTGGCCTGCATGGGCTGTGTGGAGACCCCAGTGTTCCAGAACTCCCATTTCCGAAGTGGTCTCACCTTTGGCCTTGCCATCCTGATAGCTGTCCAATGTTTTGGATCAGTTTCGGGGGCCCATTTGAATCCTGCCATTACCCTGGCTGCCTGGCTTTACGGAGCAATTGGTTGGAAAAAGGCTATTGCTTATTTTGTGGCCCAGGCTGCCGGAGCCTTGATTGGATATGGAATCCTGGTAGCAGTTCTACCAGAAAGTTCCATCAAAGGCGTGGATAATCCAGCGGGTGTTTGCGTAACGGTTCTGGCCCCGGAAATCAGCGAACTTCAGGGAGTTTTCATAGAGTTCCTCATCACATGCTGTCTGGTAATGGTGGCCTGTTCCGTCTGGGATCCCCGAAATGTCAAATTCCAGGACTCGGTGCCCGTAAGATTTGGCCTCACCGTTTCCTGTCTCATCCTCACAGCAGTTAGTATTTATTTTCGATGCTATCGTGAAACCAGAATCGAACTTAGAGCTCTCCTTTCAGGGTCTCTTCACGGGAGCCAGTATGAACCCAACCAGATCTTTGGGTCCCGCTGTTTGGAACAACTCTTGGGCACATCATTGGATCTACTGGGTGGGTCCTTTGGTGGCAGGAGCTGTCACCTCACTGATCTATAAAATGGCGTTCAAGGGCGATGAAGAGATCGATTTGAGGAGCTCCGATGCCAAGATACGCATGATCGGGGAGGTTATAGTGCAATAAATTATTGTATATCACCTAGCTGTAAATATCGAATCTTAACGAAATAAATATATTTAAATATTCTTATAAAACATCAGTGTTATATAAATATCAAACATTTAAGCTTAAATTAAAATTGCAAAATGCATAACTGAATAATTTTTTTTTTTTTGTGATCAATACCACTCTAAAACACAAGCTGGTTCTTATATTAAAAATGGTATATTGTAATTCCTTTAATCTGTTCTACTCCTAAGAATCAGGAATATTTCAGCGACTCACCAATCTTAGTTTCTAAATATATTAGATTTTTATAGCATACATTTGGGATAAGAGAATATTGGCTTTTTTGGGGGCTCGTATTTGTTTGTAAATCGTACACATACAAACAAATATATCAAAACAAAAACCTTTAAGATCGTGAAAATATTTATTGATCGTTGCTGATAAGTAACCCTTTTAAATTCCATTAAGCTAGAGATAATTTATTGCGCATGAATGATTTTCAAGGGTTCCGTAGATAGCACTTCCCTGACAAAAACAATTTATTTCACCACTTACATTAAAACCATTACAATGACATTTGGCTTAAAGCATATTGATGATTTTGTTTACGGCAGCTTTCTTATCATACCACCAAATATGCTTATTTAATGTCTAGTCATAAATATGAATTGTCTCCAACTTGGACTAGACAACGTCACTCAAGTGGTCATACACACTCGAGTTAATAGAGCACACAAACCCGAATGTTCGGCTATTCTTAAGTAAATACAAGTATATAGGACTGCTGGCTGATAAACGACCTGAGGCGATTAGACACCCTGATGATTGTGGGACGAGATTGCCGGCGATTAAGAGCCCCGCGATATAGTATGCGATTCCATTGAGTACTTGGAGTGCACTCCAGTCCACGTTGAACCACGTCCCCGTTTGGGTTAATCGCTCGTGTCCACGAACAGAAATAATGGCTAAGACTACAAGGTGATTCCCTAAAGTTTAAATCCTTTTAAACCGGAAACAACAGAATGAAATATCAAGTTCATGTTCTTGTTAAAAGATAACAACTCAGTTTTCAAGACCATAAAATAATTTTAATTTAAAAACAATATATTTGTGACACTAGAAAAAACTTATAATGTCATGTGACAATTTTTGACAACGGACTCTAAACATACGTATCAAAACCCCAATATCTAATACATTAAAATAAAGTGGAGTGCATCCTTCTGTAAAACAACGCATTAATAGCGAAAAACCTAAGTGACCAAAAAGTTAAAAGTGGATAAATATTTAAATAATTATAGAACATATTTTCCTTCATGTCCTTAAGTCACTCTAATATTAAGAGCGATTTTAAACAGGAATCTGAAGATATAACACTTTTCAATATCAATTTTATATTATTTAATGGTACAAATTATACGTAACAAAATGACCACTGAAATATAAAATGTATATTTTTAGTGGGTACTTGTATCGGTGCTGATAAATTTTAAAAGATGAATATCTTATATATTACTTTTGCTAAATTTACTACCTCTTAAAATAAAAAAAAAATGTGAGACTTTTTTAGTTACTGGATAATTTGTTCTATCTTACAGCCGTTCAACATGCTGGTTGCTGCAGCGTCGCCAGCTGGACAATATCTCAATAGTTCTTGCCGAAATGATAGCCACCGCCATGTTGATGTTCCTGGGTTGCATGGGATGCGTTCAGAATTCCGTTTTCACCAATTCGAACTTCCAGAGCGCCGTAAACTTTGGGTTCGTAGTGCTGATCTGCATCCAGTGTTTCGGCTGTGTGTGTGGAGCCCACTTGAATCCCGCCGTCACCTTGGCCACCTATGTCTACAACATGATCTCGCTGCCAATGGCTCTGGCCTACTTTGTGGCCCAAATGGTGGGCGCATTTATAGGGTACGGACTGCTGAAGTCAGTGCTTCCTGAAAGTGCCATCTACAGCTCGGATACACCCAATGGAGTATGCCTCACATCGCTCAACAGCACCTTGACCAGCTGGCAGGGCCTGGCCGTTGAGTTCCTGATCACCTGCGTCCTCATCTCCATATGCTGCGGGGTCTGGGATCCCCGCAATGCCACAAAACAGGACTCGGTGCCGGTGCGTTTCGGCCTGGCCATCGCCTGCCTTTCACTCACAGCGGTAAGTAGGACTTATTTTAATAATACAATAATATAAAAAACGAGTCTCTCGTGATATATTTATGCAAATAAAAATCAAAAATGTATATCACGGTTCCTTAAAGTGTGGTAGATTTTAGTTAAATACAATATTTATACAACACATTTTCCTTTTGCCTTAAGTTTAATCCATATAGAAAATATCTTTAAAAATTCCAGAAGATTAAACCTTTTTGTGATGATAATAAATCAATTAATAATGGGAAATAACGCTCAGTTCCTTAAATAAACACTTTAAAAAGTCTATCACTATATATTTAAAAGTAATCAGGCAAATGCACTTGACTTTTTGCTATTGATGATAACCAAATTTTAAATTGGCACATAATCAGTTTAATATATTTTTGAGATTAGTTAAAATCAAACCAGCTGTCAAAATAGCAATCTAAGTGCTTGTTAAGGAAATGCTTACTAACACAATGACTGTGTCTTTTAACCTTCAAGCTAACTTTGGTCTAATTTCCGATCCCACTTTTATCCACTTACAGGGCCAACTGACTGGGGCCAGCATGAATCCAGCCCGATCCTTTGCCCCAGCGATTTGGAATGGTGCGTGGGACAACCACTGGATCTACTGGGTGGGGCCCATGGCTGCGGCACTGGTAACCTCAGTGATCTACAAGTACGCCTTCCGGCGGGAGGTGGAGGATTTGGACGAGGTCGACGAGACCACAATGTCAACCAAGCGAACCTCGGAGGCGGAACTCGCCTAGAAATGATTTAGTACCCATTAGACAAGTTATCGTTTAAGTTTGTGTGAGTTGAATGCGGATTAGTTTTAAGTTGCGAAGCGTACAAATAAATACCTTAAATGAAATCTTACGACTGCCGACTCTATATAAATAATCTAATGTAAATGCTATGCTTATCTGGAGGAGATTACTTTTATGCCATCGCAGAACGCTTATCGTTAATATTTAATTGCTGATACACTTGATCAAATAAACCACACAGTAGCCAGAAATTTTGAGCTTACGTTTATTGTCACATACTCGTGTACACGGGGTTTAGAGCCCTAGTTAAGACCGGTGCAAATGGGTATTTCCAGGGGCCTATAACGTGGCGTAAACGCGTTATTCCAGATAAAGGGGACCATGATGGCGGCCAAGATTTGGCCAGTTAGCTGCATTACAACAGAGTCCGGGTTGCCTTGAAAGATGGCCGGCACTAGAGTCTTGGCCGGGTTCATTGAGGCTCCAGTTAATTGGCCCTGGAAAGGGATAAAATGTTCGTGTCATGTTCATATCCATAGCTTACAAATCTACTTTCTCGATTTTCCAGACATTTTTCAAAAAATGTGCTGGTTTAAAGAATTTAAATAATTTATTTTGGATGCATTCGCGATCTCAAAATTAATGGACATTCCTGTTAAGATTCATAAAACTACACATACTAATCTCTAAAAATGCTAGTATCTGGGAAAACCTAAGAAACCTATATTCCATCTTTTTAATTTATTGTCTCTTCCTTTGCTGATTATTTCAGCGCCATGAGATATGGGCCTGCGATTATAAATTGCGATTGCGGAATGTTTTGAATTGTTAGAAATGCTGAAAGATTACTAATCTTTAAACCACCAGTTGAGTTTGACACACTTCAGAGTGATTTTAAAAGATTGTGGCTTTTCACACAAAAACAATACACTGAAAAAATATTCGATTTATTTTTAAAACATTTGGAGTAAAATTAAATCCTTTCATTTAGTAAATTTACTATAATAGAATGATGTTTATTTAAAATTAGATAATTTTCTAAAATTGTAGAAAAAATTGCCTTTGACTCAAAGTTACTAAAGTTCAAGGAATGAGTGTATGCTTTTAAAGTTATCCCAAAAATATTTTTAAGATGTATTTAACGCCATACAGAAATATGTATATTTGAATAATGCCGTTTTCAAACTTACCCCAGCAAAACTGCAGGCGATCACCAGGAGACCCATCCGAATGGTGACCGAGTCCAGGAATCGTCCGTTTCGCACATCCCACAGGGCACACCATCCGAGCACGAAGACCGCGGTCAGCAGGCACTCGATGCTGACAATCTGGGTGGGGGTCAGACTGGCCATCGGTTCCACCAGACAAACGGCCGGCTTGCTGGCATTCACCACTTCTTTGGGTAGTAGTTGGAGCAGAACGAAGTAGCCAGCAAATCCACCAGCCAGCTGACAGACCACATACATCATCATCAAATCCGAGGCTATATAGCCCATTAAGAAGCACGAGATCGAAATGCAGGGATTTGCATGGGCTCCGGAAACGAAGCCAAACACGTGCATCACCACCATCACAGCCAGTCCGTAGTGAACGCTATAAAAAGGAATTTATAAATCAGAATCCTGAACAACATAATAAAAACGTATTACCTAGCCACCAAACTTTTGTAGTCGTCACCCTGGTTCATCGAATCACCCATGCAACCAAAGAGCATCAGCAAAGCGGTGGCACTAAACTCACTGAAACCTCGTATAAAGGTAAAGAAGTCCCAAATCATCGCGAACTTGCACTTATTGTTGTGTATCACAGACGATTTAAAATAAGAAATAAAACTAACAAGAAGGTCCTGTGTAATTATGAGATTTGATATTGCTGACTACGAGTAACAAGAGGGGTAAGGTTTACTTTGATCTACTCGGATTTAACCAAAATATGGAACAAATAATTTAAAAAAATAAAATAATACAAAAAGTCTTAATGGTCAGGAATAAAAAACAGTTTCTCCAACTATATGTTTTAAATTTCCTCCACTCCGTTTTATAAATTTCTTTCCTCGCCTTCGCACACTCTCCTAGTGAAAGAATCTATTTACCACAGGAAATCCTGCTAAAAAAAATTCAAAATACGGTTCTTTAAAAATTGTTCGTGTACATAGTTTGAAATATGTTCCGGGGGGCATATAAGGTTTTATCATTTTTACAGTCAAGACATGTCTTGGTTAAAAGCAGCTATATGTAGGTCTTTCGGCTCTGTAAATTCTCTTTATAACACCATACCTTTACAGTAAGAGACGGCCTTTCAGTGATCTTTTTGATAAAGGGGGCAAAGGCAGTGGCGGTATCGAACCTTACCATGTAGCAAGTATCTTAAAGTAACTAGCTATTTTATAAATTATTAATAACTGTATTTCCAAAGAAACTATTACAAGTAAACAAAGGAAAAGAGGCACAGATCCTGGAATTAACCGCGCAAATCGAGTCCCTTGAGATGCAAATTAAAGCCCTTGAAAAAACCAAGTCAGCTGAGGCACAAGCTGCGAAAGGAGAACTTATGGTAGTCCTTAAAGAGCTAAAAGGTGCCCTCCGGAAGTTAAGAATGAATAAATAATAATACATATGTGTCCAGATCTATTTTAAAATTTAGAGCAACGGGTACAATGGCACTTGTCTTTTATTTGAGTGTGTAACTATCACAGGGCTGTGTTTGCTAACCGCAATTGTACACTGTTTGTGTGGAGGCAGTGATCGAGCAGAGCTCATCCAAGGGCAAGGACCTAGAACTAGATGAACTAGATGACTAACTTATAAGCGTATCGATCATTAGGCATCTTTCACGAATTCAAATTGCTCATGCTTGGTTCCTGTTTTGCAGAGGTTTGGGTCACAGCTACTGCACATTGTAACATTAATTTTAAAGATACTTTACATTTGTTAGGACACGTTTATAGCATACTTTCTGGCTTTCTTTGAAAATACATATATATTTATAGACATGGTATTATGAAAGTTACTTCAAAATTCAATAAATTTATACTTTGGAAATACTTTCAAATTTTTCTAAATAATCAAAATTGCCTGGTTTCATTTTCATTGGAACAAACATGAATATAAATCCAATAATCCGTACCATATTGAACCACTTTCGAGGTTGCACCATCAGGTTAGTATTATCAAGTGCCGATTAGGATACTAACATAATATTGTTAACAAATAGGAGCTATCTGGTTGTCCTGCCAGATCACGGTCGTATAGAGAAACAGCTTAAGCTGGAGGAGCTAATAACGGTAAGATATTGCTTATCAGGATGAAGTAATCAGCATTAAACTGTACTCACAGGAACGTGGAGTTTTGGATATGCGATCTCTTGAGCTCTCACTTCAGCAAAAACGCGTTGAGGCCAATCTAACCGATCTGACACGTTGCATAAGGGGCATGGAGTTTGATTTGAAGGTGAATTCCGATCTGGAGAAAAAGGAAAACAAACAGCCACGTGGTACCTCGCATAATTCCCCGCCAAGCGATAAGAAATCACCCAAAGTCGGTGGTTTTAGCGAATAGCAAAATCCCCTCGGGTACTTCCCGGTCCCTGGGGCAATAGTACGGGTATAAAAACACTCATTTCGCCGGAGACTGGTATTCAGAAACATCTGAGATTGCCAACCATGAAGCTGTTTGCCCTGTGCTGCCTACTAATTTTGGGTCTTCTGGCATGCCTGCCCACTCCCGGGGCTGCCTCGCCATCTCGTGACAGTGGATCGCGACCGGGATCAGGATCAAGATCCGGTAATCCCTTCCATCCACCACCTCCACAACAACGACCATTCTACTACGATGCACCAGTTAGAAGACAACCATCCAATACAATGTACGCTTAAACGATAACAATGCAACAATAAAAACGAGCGAGTATGAATCGGGGACTTACATTTTCTTATCAATAAGAGGCAGCCGGCTGAGAATGTGAACATCTGATTTTGTTCACTTTTTAACGCATGACGTGATAAGGGGGATACCGAACAAACAATAAATTGTTTGTTTTTTTTTTAAAACAAAAAATGGTTAATAGTAACCAAACGCTTAATAAATTCCTATGGCTTGAAAGTTTTTGAAAACATTTTCCCATTAACAGATTCGCTATATCGAGTTAACACCGTTCGATAAAAACTTTAAAGAAGCTATTAAGTAATTTTGAAAAACCTGCTTTTGATCACTTGTCAAAATTAAACAAAATTACCAATATTATGTGTTCCTGCCACACAGGTATTATAGTTTCCAGAAGTTAAGAAACAATGTTTACTGTGGCGCGAATAATAAGCTCGACAACATGTACCAGACTGTTATATGCACGGAAAGCACCTTCTCATATCAATGTGCCTCATAAAAAGATATGGATTAGCTTACGCAAAAAGAATGGCCTAGTTTTTAGAGACCACTCCGTTTTGAGCACGAAAAATGTCATTTACAAATATCCCTTCAAGTAAGTTTTTTATTTGCATATTTTGTCCATTATTTATTTTTTTCAAGATCCCACAGGCGGCAATACTCCGACAGACTATACGAAAAAGGCAGAGGAGAGGAACTTAACTATTTTCTTAGGCTTGTGTGTATACAAAAATATTAACATTTTAATCATCTAAAAAACAATCATCGTATAGGGCAGAGAACAATTTATGAAAATTAGAAAGAATAGGATTCAAGAAATTACCAACGATATCGCGAAATTGGAAAAAGAGATCCAAGAAATGGAAAAGCAAACAAGTCGCCGTTCACAGAAAAATAAAGAGCTTCTTATGAAGGAATTGCAGGCTCTAAGGGATATGTTAGAGAGATTTCATAAGACCTTCGAAAAAGAGAACGAATAAAAGATCTCAGATAAGTAGGCTATCAGTAAACAGTTTGTCTACAGCTTTTCATCCATTTTGAAATACTTAAAATTATTCATTTAGTAAATTTTAAATTTTTTATATATCTACAGATCCAGACAGTCCAATACCGTGAGAAATAATGCTTAAGGTCGTAGAAAAGATAATTCAACTGTTGCGGCCCAGGATATGTCAATTCACGCAGTCCAATAAGTAAAATGTTGATACTAATGGTATTGCAGTCAATACAAAAATCTCTTTATCTAGGAACATTTCCAAGCATTTATATGAGAAGGCTAGAGCGGAGGAGAATATTCATTTCCTTAAACTGGTTTGTGATCTGGAGATACAAAATAATTCACATTACTAACATCCCACATTTAACCAGCAAAGAGAGCAGCTGAAGTCCTTGCGAGAAAAGATTCTCAGCCAGAAGAACGAAGTCACGACGAAGATCATTAAAGTGGATCAACAGATACAATCGTTGGAAAAATCTAAAACAGAAGATAATTCGAATACATAAAAAAATCCATTGTGCATTCAAGGCAAACATTAGAACCATGATGGAAATTAAATAGTGTGGCAGAAACCGTAACCATTTCGTTTCTTTCTTTCGTTTGTATTTTATTTAAAATAATTTGTATCTTTCATTTACACGCTTTACAAAGAAGCCTTCTACGACAACTGAAGCCCCTCTTCATATTGGAGGCTTGCTTATACGTACGGTACATATATCATATATGGTAACAATTTGTTTTTTGCAGCGCAAATGGAAAATAAGATATTTAAAAGAACTTTCAAATAATATGGCATTTAAACAAACATATATAGCGGTCGTATATATATCAACATAGTCTATACAAAGATAAAAATAAATACAAGTACAAGTAAAAATCAAAATCAAAATCAGAGACGACTGCCGATTGTAATGATGCATTTACATATAATAGAGTTCTTCTCTTACTGCTATGAAAAGTAATTATTTGTGCATTTCATAAGAGTTTGAATCGTTAGTGGTGGTAGCAGAACGTAAACTGAAGTCAAGAACGTAAGTACAATACATTTGTGGTAGTTGAGCAACTTGGAGAGTGTTTCCCATACGAACTAAAACTAGTAACTAACTAAACTTGACTTGACTTGGTCAAGTGCTGGTTAGGCCAGAAGAGAGTGTATCTGTGTGTGTCTGCTATCTGAGTGTGTGTGTGCATCTTGTGTGTGTGCTTGTGAGGTAGGCGATTCATCATAAGATTATGGCATACTTCCGAGCGCCTCCTGATCCTCGCTTGGGTTGTTCTTGGGTCCTGTGTGTCGGTGTCGGGGGGGGATTCGCTTCTAGCTTTCAAATACTGATCAACAATGCCAGGAATGTCTCTCTGTGTGTGTGTGAGTGTCGGTGTGGGTCTGTAGCTGTGGATCCTGCTTTCATCTTAAGTCTAACTCTAAGGCTAACTCTAGCCGATCCCCCAGCCACGCTCTCTGCCTGCGAACGTGGCCACGGCTATGGGTTTTAATTCTATAAACTAATGTAACATGAAACGGTGATGGGCTGCCGCTGCTCCTTGGACTGCTGCCGCACTGCCTCCTAACTGGGCAGTCGCTTGCTGGCCAGCTCCTGCAGCTTCTGCAGCGCCAGCGTCTTGTTGATCTCCACCAGATCGCGACTGTGCTTGGCCGCCTGCAACTGCACCTCCAGGATCTTCATGCGCATCATGTGCTCCTTGTTCTGCATGTCCATGAACATGCGCAGCTCGAAGTTGCTCTGGCTGCTGCCGTTGACACTGGAGCTGGCTGCTGTTCCCGCGATGGCTACTCCATTGCTGCTGCTGCCGGATCGCTCTAAAGCCTGGCATTCCGCGGAGGCTGGCACTGAAGCGGTCAGGTTAGCCGGCTGGTCCTCGCTGCCCAGGACACTGCCGCTGCTGGTGCGTTGCCTCTTGGCCAGCGGCTTCATGCCATCCTCGTCGTCCTCGTTGTTGTTGTTATTGTTGTTGTGCTGGTGATGCATGGCCACTTGGGCCTGCGCCTGATGCTGCTGAATGGCAGCCGCTGCCGCTGCTGCTGCACTGGGAAATTGGCCAGATCGCAGGGCATTCAGAGCCTCCAGCGTGGCGGATATGTTGTTCATGTTGAAGTTGGCCTGGAAGCCGGACATGTCGGCTCCTCCGGGCAGGAAGGCACCGCTCGCATCCAGGGCACCGGCTGCGGAAAGTGTGGCAGGACTCTCGGCCTCATGGATCCCATTGCGACTGATGCTGTGATTGGGCGACACACTCAGGCGCTCGCCACCGCCATGGATATCGCTCTGGTTGAGATGGTGAGTGTTGAAGGTCTCGTTGAAGGTCTCGTTGTTCTCCTCCTCCTTGATGTCCACGTCGCACAGCTCCTGCGGCGGTGTGCGACTGCTGCTTAAACAAACAAATCTCAATGAAAATCTCGTCCAGCTTCCACAGAATGCCATCAAACTTACTCATCCATATCGTGCTCATCGGCATTGAATTTGTAGTCATCGCGATACTCAAAACCCTCCTCCAAAGCCAGCGGTATTTTGGAGTAGTCGATGCCATCCAGGGCCTCCGATTTGCAGGCCTTCTTGGCCTCCTGCATGAAATCCCACACCTCAAAGGTGAATGGCGATGGCTTCTTGCGATCAGCCACCTCGGCTCCGAACCTGGCCAAGCGATTGTTGTAGTCCAGAATCTCATTGCGAGTGCAGGCTGGAAGATAAGATTTAAATGTTAGATACAACCATATAATATGTTAAGATATTTCTAAAGTACTATAGAAGAAGTACTCCTATGAATTTATAATTGACTACCTACCTTTCATGCGTCGCCATTGTTCCTTGAGGCGATTGCAGGTGCGATCGGTGCCAAATTGATTGGAGAACTTCTGGTGTATGATCTTCCAGGCCTTGTTCTTCACAGCCGTAAGACCGGCATCCAATCTTTTGTTCTCGATGATGCGCATATCCTTGCGGCACAGATCGAGCAGGTATTTCTTCTCCTGGTGGTTCCAGTTCTGGGTGCGTTCCCTCTTCTTATACATGTTCATCGAGGGGCTGTTCATGTACTGTGTCATTTCTGCAAGTATTTCATCGAATTTAGAATGCCTCGAAGCAGAGAGATATAGAGAGCCATTTGCCTAACTTACCCGTCTTCAAGTCGACGCCCTCCAGCAAGTTGTGGTTGGAATTTTGCCAGTTGGCGGCGATCTTCATAAAAGCCTCCAGATCGGTGGCCGAATACTGTTTGTTGACCTGCAAAATAAAAAAGAGTAGCGAGAGGTAAGAAATCGGACATCAGTAATGAGCAGCCATTGATTAAGCCTCAAATAACCGGCACAATCTGAATCGCAAGTCCCAAATACTTGAGCATGCAAAACTTGTGCCAAATTCCTCACCATACGAAAGTGCTTTTGGGACGCACTCCAAAAACCAATGAACCTGAACGATGATGAATTCGGGCAAAATCGAAGACAATCGAAACAAAATGAAGTTTGTTTTTCGTTATTAAGCACATCAATTAAATTTTCGTTTGTCAGTGAAAACAAAAGGATTCTGATTCTGAGCCGAGAGTGCTTCTTTAACTTTTTCTTTTATTTTATTTCTGTGGAATTATTCTACCCTGGATGATATCTGACTTTGACATGACTGCCGCTGATATTGCCGAGCAGCTATATAGATGCAGTCACATTAATTGATTTTCAATTAGCGGACAGGCGGACAGATGAACTGGGGAGAGAATGGAGGTGGAGATGGAGGAGGTGTGAGCGATATCGGGAATATAATCCTTCCATAAGGCGTAACGAAATGGGCTAAAAAGAATATGAATACGAACAATCGAATGAATTGAACGACCGCAAGACGAAAAAAGAAAGACAACCAAAAAATCAAATAATGGCATGAAACGCGTTTTAAATTATAAGCTAACAAAACTCACAAAAAGCAGCTGCCGACATTTTGTTTGGTTCGAAAAAGTATCTGTGTGTTTACTCAATACACGGGTATTTGTGCGGCCGAGTGGGGTGATCAAAAGTCATACTGACAGCCAATTATATCTAATCAAGTATATTCAAATGTACTATATAAATATATCTGAGTATGCAATTATTCAACGAGTTCTTCAGTCAAGTTCTGGTTAGTAAGGAACAGTGCTAACCATTGGTTTATACCATTAACTGAGATCAAGTACAAACATCTGAACATTATTTATGCAACGTATTCTTCAATGAAGTTCTGGTAAGTAAGAGTAATCACCACTTAAATTACTCACACAAACGAAATTAAAACATGACATTGGTAACCACTGGTTAAGAACACCATCATGAACTATTCTTTATTAAGTCAAAGAATAATTCGTGTAAAAATCATCTTTGTCGAAATAAACTGTTTACTAAGCCGGGAAGACCCTAAATTATAATATGACTAATAATTAAATTTTTATTTGCTTGTAATGCAGACTTAAAAAAAGCCGAAAATTGTATTTTCCCCTCCTCAAAAACAGCTCAACTGTACTTGTTAAATATCGTCTCCCTAAAAACTCTCTCATTGATCGCTTCCCCCAACACAATCGTCAATCCTAAGTACGTTTTATGGTGCTTTATTTTATTCCAATTTTGTTCAGTCGTTCGCTCGATTCGCCTTCTTCTGGCCCCTCCTGGCCATCGAACACCCACAACTCTTGGCTGTAGAAACTGCGCCATGTGTTCAATATTTATGCCGTATCTGATTTACAATTTATATATATGCGTACTTTGTACATACGTCTTACTTATCTAGATATTTATGTACATTCGTATTTATCGCATACTCAAAGACTGAAAGGAGACTTAGTCATTGGAGAATGAACGCGGCGCGTGCGCTTATTATTATTATTATTTGTACTCTTCCTATATATAAATTCATATTTATTAGCAAACAATTAATTATTACTGTCGACTATTATGGGAATGTTTAAATTTTAGTCATGAGCTGCGGGGTGGTTGCACCTTTTATTTTCGGATGGTACACAGAAACAAAAAATTATGATATAGGATGATCAATTTTGTCATTCATACACCAGTTTATTTTACTAATGATAAACTTTTAAATGTATTCTATATCCTTTCTCACTAAAAATATATCCCTAAAGTAAATCATTGATTTGTTTCAACATTGCCAAATATATACATGGAAAAGGAGACAACATTTTTTTGGCAGTGCATGCAAAGAATGCCAGAATCATTTAAATTCGAGTCTGGTTCCGATTATTTGCAAGGGTGGGGCTCAGGCTCAGCCAAGTTAGTCAAAGATGAAGTTGGAAGAAGATGCAGACTGTGAAATTCTGTATCCAAAATGTATCTCTGAAATGTCGCAATTTAAAATCATCACTTGCTTTGCCTTCGGGGTAAAAAAGGATCTCTCAATTAATATGCTGATCAATTGACGTACGTTGGCCGATTTTGGTTGAGAAAGTGTCTTTACGTAAATCAAATATATATAATTGTTTTCCTGCCACTCCACTTTTGGCACTGAGTGCTCGCACATTCATAAAAATAATCACTTCAATCAATGTGACTTCAAAATTAAGCATTGAAATTAAATAAGCAAACTGGTTT